TTACTATTATTTTATTTTAATACCAGCATTCTGTTTACCAATAAGGCCGTCACCATTTCATCATTATATACAGTATTTTTTTAATCCGGCTCCTGATTAAAAATAAAAAATAGATAATAAGAATAAATATAATGATAATAATAATAATAATAATTAATAATAATAATAATTAATAATAATAATAATAATAATAATATATATAATAATTAATATAATTATAATATAACAATAATAATAATAATAACAATATAATACAATAATAATAATAATATAACTAACAATAACAAAACAAATAATATCAACAATAATAATAACAATAATGATAATAGTAAAATAAAATTACAACACATTAGCATACCTTTTGTACTTACAAATGGGGTATTACTAAGTGTAGCCTATTGTCATTACAATAACTTAGGTCCATATTTCCTTAGATTACATAGACTTAACTTAGCCTCAATCCTTTAAACATTTCCTTAGATTACCATAGACCAATTTTCTGAAGTTCATTCATTAGCTTTGATCTGTTCATAATTTTAGTTCATGTACAAACTCACAAAATTTAGAATTGTGCGAGGTCCGACCCAAAGAATATTCGTATACTTGACATGCATAAATAAAGAAATGAATGCATGTTTATCAGTCTAGACATGCATATCAACCCGGCAAATAGATGGTTCAATGTATATCTATCAGATATATAGACAGATATTCATTTATTTCTGCGTATATGTATGTCTGTATTTATGAAAAAAATCATTGGGTCGGGCCTGGCACAATTTTAACAAACCGACCGATGAACAATGGTATAATAATTCATTCGCCGTTCCAATTCCTTCATTTTTTTAGTTCCAAAACATACGAATTCGCACACCTTAAAAAAACAAAACTATTATACCAACATACCTGCACACTTTCGTATATATTCATTTATATGTTGTTAAAAGCTTCTCACGATTTTCGTACCAAAACGCATGAACGAAAACCTTAATTAACCTAATCTCACACATTAATACCTCCTCTACGGGTGTATGTGACCCCCCCCCCCCGCCTTTCCCATACTCAGAGAAAATAGAGTAAAACAACCGCTATTACGTTGTTCAGCCGTTCATTATATTCACAAGGACGGGCCCGCCATCTGATCTGAACAACGTGAACATGTGTGAACTCAGACGGTCACAGGCCAACGGTCCGTGACTATTTTTAAAGGTCTTCATCCCATCAGACCGTAACTAACTGTGACTTAAATTTTCTTTTAATGTTAACCGAAAGTAAGTCAGGCGTATCCTATATATATATATGTAAGCGTCTAGGGTTTGTTTAGGTTTGTGTTCAGCAGATGGTGCTAAACGATGACTTGCTGTATTGTGTGTGTGTGTGTGTGTGTGTGTGTGTGTGTGTGTGGTGTGTGTGTGTGTGTGTGTGTGTGTGTGTGTGTGTGTGTGTGTGTGTGTGTGTGTGTGTGTGTGTGTGTGTTATTTCGGTCGTTCGTTACGGGAAGGTGTCCCCCCTATAGGAGGTGGTTCTAAGGGGGAGGGGAGGGGGGGATGAAATTGTGGAGAATCGTATTCATTGCTAGCATTATCTTTTTTAAAGGCATATATATATATTATATATATTATCTACTATACTCTCTATCGTATATATAATATAATATAATAATATATATATTATATTATATATATATACATATATGTGCATGCTACAATTTTTTTCTTTTATGAACATAGAAATCTTTCACCACACGTTCACACATGTCATAAAGTAGTGTTCGGGGGGGGCAGTGTTTGCCAACCGCGCGCAGAAGATGATAGCGCAGTATTATTACCACATTGGCGTTATTCCCCACGACTGTCACTGTTCGAATGGTAGCAAGTTGTGATTACAAGAGGATCGTGGGCTTTATCTCTGTCAAAAACCTGATCTGTCTGTCTGTCTCTCGTTCTTTTTCGTCTCCTCTCTCGTCTCTTCCTCTCTCCGTTTCTCTCGTCTTCTCGTTTCTTCTCTCTCTCTCTCTCTCTCTCTCGTCTCTCTCTCTCTCTCTCTCTCTCTCTTCTCTCTCTCTCTCTCTCTCTCTCTCTTCTCTCTCTCTCTCTTTCTCTCTCTCTACTCTCTCTTTCTCTCTCTCTCTCTCTCTCTCTCTTCTCTCTCTCTCTCTCTCTCTCTCTCTCTCTCTCTCTCTCTCTCTTCTCTCTCTCTCTACATATATATATATATATATATATGTGTGTTGATGTGATGTCGTGTGCTGTGTGTGTCCGGTCGTGATGACTGTGTGCGATGTGTGTGTGTGCCCACATGGTGTGTGTGGTGATTTACGCTGTGCGTTTGTGGCGTGGTGCCGTTGCCGTGGGGTGTCGCGCCCGCCGCGTTTTGTGTGCGTGCTGCGTGCGTGTAGATAAATTAGATAAATCGTGTATATACATGCATACCACACAGATTGCGTCTCATGTGTATTAGATCTCATATCATATTACACAAATATTCTTCTTTGAATGCAACGTATACAAAAACTGTTATTAATAGCCTTTTTTGTATATTAGTAGTGGTGGTAATTAATTAATGAACACGAAGAACACAGAGAAGAAGATGGAGAACACTGGCCAAATTTATTCTTTTTTATGGAACATTGAAGTCTTCACACACGTTCACAACATGTCATAAGGTAGTGTTTCGGGGGGCAGTGTTGCCACGCGCGCGGATGATGATGGCGCAGCAGTATTACCACATTGGCGTTATTCCCACGATCTGTCACTGTCGAATGCTAGCAGTTGTGATTACATGGGGATCGTGGTTTTATTATCTGTCTGTTTCTGTCTCTCTCTCTCGTTTGCCTTTTTCGTTCTCTCTCTCGTTCTCTTCCTCTCTCTCGTTTCTCTCTCCTTCTCGTTCCGCTCTCCTCGTTCTCTCTCGTTCTCTTCCTTCTCTTCGTTTTCTTCTCTCGCTTCGCTCTGGTTCTCTTCCTCTCTTCGGTTTCTCCTCTGCGTGTCTCTTCCAGATCTCTCATCTCTCTCCCTGCTCTGTCTCTCGGTCTCTCTTCTCGTCTCGGTCTCTCTCTACTCTCCTCATCTCTCTGGCTGCTGCTCTCTGTCTCGCGTCTCTCTCTCTCTCTCTCTCTCTCGTTGTCCTTTATTTCGTTCTCTATCACTGTCTCTCTCTCTCTCGTTACTCTACTTCGTCTCGAGAGTATCAGCCGTCTCTACTCTTCTTCTCTCTCTCTCTCTCTCTCTCTCTCTCTCTCTCTCTCTCTCTCTCTCTCGATCTCTCTCCTCTCTCTCGATCTCTCTCTCTCTCTTCTCTCGTCTCTCTTTTCTTTTCTCTCTCTCTCTCTCTCGTTTCTCTCTCTCTCTCTCTCTCGTTTCTTTCACTCTCTCTCTCTCTCGTTTCTTTCACTCTTCTCTCTCTTCGTTTTTCTTTCTCTCTCTCTCTTCGTTTCTCACTCTCTCTCTCTCTCGTTTCTTTCACTCTCTCTCTCTCTCCTATCGTTTCTTTCTCTCTCTTCCCTCTCTCTTCTCTCTCTCTCTCTCTCTCTCTCTCTCTCTCTCTCTCTCGATCTCTCGGTTCTCTCTCTCTCCTCTCTCTCTCTCTCTCTCTCTCTCTCTCTCTCTCTCTCTCTCTCTTCTCTCTCTCTCTTCTCTCTTCTCTCTCTCTCTCTCTCTCTCGTCTCTCTCTTCTCTCTCTCTCTCTCTTCTTCTCTCTCTCTCTCTCTCTCTCTCTCTCTCTCTCTCTCTCTCTCTCTCTCTCTCTCTCTCTCTCTCTCTCTCTCTCTCTCTCTCTCTCTGTCTCTCTCTCTCTCTCTCTCTCTGTCTCCCTCTCGTTTAGGTTGCTGGGGTATGTTATCACTAATTTCTTTGTGATTTATGTTCAAGTGTTTGTTATCGTTTGTTATCTTACTCTAATAGCCTGAGCATTTAGGACATAAGTAAAGTTATCATATTTACCTCACGTAGGTAATCCATGTACAGTACATGTATACCTATCTACCCATAAAAATAAATTTACCCCTACACACACAAAAATCATCATAAACACACCCAAAAATACAACTTTCTAAAAGAATCACACTAGAAAATACAACTTTTAAAAGAATCGTTCAAACCAATCATGACCATTATTAATTTTATTTTTCTCTCTATTTCTCAACAGGTGTCCCCGCGTTGGAAGTCGTGGGCACGAGAGCGCCTTCCCTGTACACGACTCAACCCGAACGCAGCGGGTCGAACACACACGCTGGAGCCGCCACACCACAGAGGCATAATGTAAGACCGGAACAAGGGCATAATGTAGAGGAGAGGGAGGGAGAGAGAAGAGAGAGAAGGGAGAGGAGAGGAGAGGGGAGAGAGAGGGGAGAGGCAAGGGGGCGGGAGAGGGAGAGAGAGGGGAAGGGAGAGAGAGAAAGGGGGAAGGGAGAAGAGAGGGGGGAGAGAGGAGAAGAGAGAGGAGAAAGAGGGGCGAAGGGTAGAGAGAAAGGGGGAGAGGAGAGAGAGAGGGGGGAGAGGGAGAGAGAGGAGGGAGAAGGGAGAGAGGAGAGGAGAGGGGAAGGAGAGAGAGGGAGAGAGAGAGAGAGAGAGAGAGGAGAGAGAGAGGACAGAAAAAAGTAAAGAAAGTACAAACAATATCAAGAAGAGGCAGGATGAAAGCAAAAAAAATAGGAGAGGGAGAGAAAGAACGAAAGAGAGAAGAGAGAGAGATGAGAGAGAGAGAGAAGAGAGAGAGAGAGAGAGAGAGAGAGAGAGAGAGAGAGAGAGAAAGAGAAGAGAGAGAGAGAGAGAGAGAAGAGAATAGAGAGACAGACAGACAACAACATACAGACACAGAGAACCAAAAATCCGAAAATCGAAATCATCGAAAAACGAGTATTGATTCCCCGCCCCTTCCACAGGTGAGTTCCCCGGAGAGGAAATCCGCGCCTTCGACCGATTCTCCTGCAGGTAGAACCGCACCTGGAGGAGGAGGAGGAGGAGGAGGTTCTGGAGTGGAGGAGAGAGGAGGGAAGCACAGGCGGAGGAGGAGGAGGAAGAAGAAGGAAGGGTCAGGCAAGATGTCTATGACCTTGAGCAAGCGTGACCTCCTGACCCAGATGGTGTCCCAGACGAAGCAACACCGTCAGCAGATCAGGTCGGTGTTTTTGAGGCTTTTGTGTTGTGTTTTGGTGTTGTGAAATCGCCAGGTTGTTGACAGTGATTTATCGTCGATTTTCATGTCCTTTTTTCTTTTTTTCTTTTTTTTTCTCTTAATTTAATTTCATCATTGATTTCCCCTTGTTTTGGTCTTTTAATTTCTTTTATTTCATTTCTCATTTTCTCTCTTTTTTATTATTCATTTCGTCTTTTTTTTTGTTTTATCCCCCATACATGTTTTTTTTTTTTTTTCTTCATGTAAATTCACTATTTAAATTTAATTTTATTTTAAACTTTTAGTTTAATCGTAACATTCTATATGCCATCATTTTTTTCTGAAAAGTTTATCGTATGTTTTAACTCTTTCTGTGTATCAATCTATTTATCTACCTACCTGTCTATCTTTCTTCATGTCTGTCTGTGCCTATCCACCCACCCATCCATCCACCCATCCATCCATCCATCCATCCATCCATCCATCCATCCATCCATCCACCACCCATCACCCACCACCCACCCATCCACCCACCCCCACCACCTATCCACCCTCCATCCACCATCACCCCACCACCCACCCACCCACCCAATCACCCCACCTACCCACCCACCCACCTATCCACCCACCCAAACAAACCCACCCACCCACCATTTTTCAAAACCCCTCCCCCTCATTAACCTCCACCCTCACCCTTTCTCTTCTCCCTCTCCCGCCGCCCTCCTGCCGCGCCTTCAGGAGTCTGGAGAACGAGCTGGAACGCCTTCGGTCCGGAGACGTCCTGAACAAGTGCGAGATAGCCTCTGCCGACGTCGAGTGGAGGCCTGGGGACGTGGTGGGGGAGGGGTCCTTCTCCACCGTGTACCGAGGGCACTACTGCGGGACGGACGTGGCGGTGAAGGAGCTCAAGTTTAAGCTCTCGCAGGTACGTGGGGTGGTAGAGGGGGGGTGGGAGGGAGGTGGGAGGGAAGGGGGAGGGGGAGGGAGTTGAAGGGAGGAAGGGAAGAAAGGGGGTGGGAGGGAGTGGAAGGTGGTAGTTGGAGTGGAAGGAATAGGAGGAAGTGGAAAGGGAGTGGAAGGGTAAGGAATAGAAAGATAGAGGAATAGAAATGATAGAGGGAGTAGAAAAGAGCAGGAGTGAGAGAGATAGAGGAGTAAAAGGTGAGGGGATGAGAGGGTACAAGAAGGGTGGAGACAGACAAAAAAAATACTGAAAAGTTGATAAAGTTGATAAGATTAGCTGTATAAGAGCAAGGAGGGTAAATGTAGTGAGATGATACACAGAGAAAGTCTCCGTTTAATAGAGGTATGAATTATTAATGCATGTGTGAGATCTAGTATATTAGTGAGTGAAAGTAAACCTAAATGCTAAATTTCGAAAGAAAGATCAAGTGGGGAGTTATGAAGCGAGTGAAGGAAATTAAATCTTAAAATCAGATCATAGAAAGAGTATAGAAAATAAGTTCACAAAATAACCAGAGGGTCTAAATTGGGGAGTTTATGAAGCCAATGAACGAAATTAAATCTTCAAATAAAAATCATAGAAAGATTATAGAAAATAAGTTCGTAGAGCATGCAGAGGGTCTACATTCAGACGATTAGAAGAGAACTGACAATACCGATTGCTTGAAAAAAAACAAGAAGGTCACAGAACACTTTCAGAAGTTCAGAAAAGTGCATGAAAAATGACCTGAAGACAAGACAGTGCATGAGAGAGAATATTTCAAAAAGTTCACGGGGAAAATTGCAGTCCTTAGACAGATAAATACAGTTTTTGTGCAGTAGTAGAACACACGCATGAAACAATCTGTTACTTGCCTTGTAATAGAGAAACAGATGGTGTTTTTTTCTCTGTTGACAATACGGGTCTTTTCATAGTTAATGGTAAATTTTGTTTTTATTTTGCTTTTATGTTGTATTCAAGTGCATTTTTTCTTTTCGTTATTTATGTTCGTGTAATGTCATTGTTATTGTAATTACTGGTAATCATAAGTAGTATTGTATCCTTTGTTTTGTTCCTATTTGCTGTGTATTTATGTTAATAGCTTTTTGTTTCTGCTTTTTTTTATTTGTTTATTTATTATTTTGCATTTCAATTTGTTGTTTTTTTCGTTTATTTGTTATTTTACTTATATTTTTCTCCTTTTTTGAGACATACGGACGACTTTTAATAATATCCGGACGAGATGAAGGAACACACGACTTCTTGCTATGCTTTCTACACGACTCATTTTTTTATATATATATACACATGAACGACCTCTTACGGGGGAGAAATATCATGACCTCACCTCACCCTGACCTCCTTGACCCCTCCTTGACTGCTTGACCCCTTGACCTCTTGACCCCGATGACACTTACAGGACGACAAGAATTACTTCCGCTCCGAAGCTGCTCTCCTACAGCAGCTGCACCACCCACGGGTTGTCCTCATGATGGGCGTGTGTACGACCGCTGCACGACCCTTCATGCTGCTCGAGTACCTGGCAGGCGGCACGCTGTACAACCTCATTCACAATTCCCCGTGAGTAGAGTGCGCTGTTTTCATTCATGAGTATTTTTTCCATTGAGTATTTTGTGTCTGTTGTTCTTTCACGTTATGGCTAAGGTTTGGGGTTGTTGTTAATGTTTTCTTCACGTTGTTCCTAAGGGTTTGTGGGTTGTAACTTTCTTCACGTTGTTGTCTAAGGGTGTTGCGGGGGTTGTAACTTTCTTCAGTTTCTTGTGGCTAAGGGTTGTTGTGGGGTTGTAACTTTCTTCACGTTGTGTCTAAGGGTTGTTGTGGGGTTGTAACTTTCTTCACGTTGTTTCTAACGTTGTAACTTTCTTCACGTTTTCTAAGGGTTTTGCGGGGGTTGTAACTTTCTTCACGTTGTGTCTAATTGTGGGGTTTATTTCATCTTCCAAGTTACTTCGTGTTGATTTTAAGTCCTCTTAACTTTGACTCTAACATGTGCATAATGTAAACGTATCATTGGTGTGATTTCTCTCTTGTAAGTGAATCTCACACATCATGTTCTAGTAATTTTTAAAATCCCCATAAAATCCTGCCATATTCGACGTATATATATAATTCGCGACATCTGAGAATGTAGGAACCAAAGTCACCCATATCATAAGGTCAGTTTGTTAAAATTGTGCTCACTTATACTGACATGTGTGTATATATAAAAATAGATGCATATCTGTCAGTCTAGACATGCATAGCTACTGGATAGAATGATAGATGAATGTGTATCGATCGCATAGATAGACAGATATGCATTTATTTGTGTATATGCACGTCCATATATATGAATATTCATTGGGTCGGATCTCGCACAATTTTAACTAACTGGCTGATAGATTGCAAATGCGAACGTTACTGGGCAATCGACATGGTTATGCAAGGAAACAGAACCACTGCAAGGAGAGAGAGAATAATGTGTTAAGAATCTAGAATTCCTTTTGCTTTCCTGTGTTTATTTCGCTGTGTCTTGTTTACTGTGTTTTAATTTTTTAGATTCTAGAAAAGATGGCACACAGAACAACGTGTTTTATTCTTGTTTTCTTCGTTATGTTTGCTGTATTCTTTCATGTTCTTTGCTTTTTGTCGTGTTTGGCGTTGAAAAAGTGATCTCAAATTGATTTCAACCACAATGCGTATTTATTACTACTATTATTATTATTCAAGAACAACATGGGATAAGAACTTTCTTTATAATTGCAATCTAAGTATTTTTTCCCGCTCCTAACCCTCTCTTTGCAAGTAACAGTCACAAACCTAACTCACTCCCAAGCTCACAGTCATCGCAGTCTAACTTATTATTTTATATACGTCTCCCTCTGACACCCCCACTTCCCCCTTTGCAAACATCTCTTGGATAAATGGAGGGTGATTTCGTAACAATTAACTGAAGCTGAACAAAGAAAAGAGACGAAAAGAAAGAAAGAGAGAGAGAATAAAAAAAAAAGAAACGGTACTTTTAACTTCGACAAAATAACGAAAGAAGTGTTTGAGATACGAAGTATGGCGGGAAAGTTTTTTTTCTCTCTCACATTTTTACTATACCTTTTTCACTTTCTTTTATTTTTCTCTTTTTTTTTTACGTTTATCAACATATCACTTACTCTTGAAACGATGGCCCACATACAGAGAAAAATACAGCAATCATTCAGACAGTTTAAGAGTTACACGTCATGTTACACGAGCACTTAATAATAGCCGAAACCAACTATTACTCTCTTTCTCTTCGCAACTTACGTAAAGTGTTGGAACCTCCCGCGTGGAAGGTTCATCCCCAGTGGGATTCGAACCCACGACCTCTGGATTAGAAGTCCAGCGCGCTTTCCACTGCGCCATAGGGACATGAGCCTCATGTCTTGCAAGCTACATGTCAGATCCTAGGGACATGAGCTTCAATTCCTTGCAGCACACTTCAAATCCTAGGGACATGAGCTAAATTCCTTGCAAGCACACTTCAAATCCTAGGACATGAGCTAATTCCTTTGCAAACCACAACTTCAAATCCTAGGGAAGGCAATGAGCCTCATTTCTTGCAAGTACATGTCAGATCCTAGGGACATGAGGTCAATTCCTTGCAAGCACACTTCAGATCGTTATTATCCTGAATCGTAAGGAGATAACGACTTAGGAGAGATCATGGTTGATTATTTAATGGCATAAAATAACATTTAGAAGTTTGTGAATGTAGTGTGTTTAAATTAATAGCCATTAGAGTATACTGTATTTAATCGGGAGGTTTAACCTAAGTTCTGATTATCTCAGGGGGTATGTGAATAATTCGTTCGCCCACCATACCATATATTCCTCACTGATCTCCTTATATACTATATACCTTGATGCCGAGTATATGCTGCTCTTATCATACAGGCTCGCTGTGCTTGCTACTGTAAGCGACCTTATCACTCTGCTGAATCACTCTCCCTGGTAGCAGGCACTATGAGACGTAACGTCTCATGCGCTCGCTTCTCCCCGACGCGCGACCTGTCTTCACTCTTGCCGGGACTCTCTTTCAGTTACTCCGCGACTACACTCACGCGCTTGCCGTACCCGCCTGGCCTCATTAGCATCCGGGGATAACTCACGTCCTGGACTTGTTCACCTCCGAGGTGTGGCATCTGTCCGCGCTACGTTTGCACTCGTCGTTGTATATGCGTATGTATGGTTGCTTTACACTGTGTGTGTGTGTGTTCATATAATGCACACCACGTATATATACATTATATATATTTATATATTTACTATATGTATGTACATTTTGCGCATTTCTGTATATTTCGCTGAATATATATGCCACACCACATGCTCTGATAATGTGAGGGTAATATACTATATATATATAGAGTAGTAATATGATATTATAATGTATACATACTATATCGTATGTTATGTACTGGATATAATACCTATACATTATAGGTATTAGTATAATATATCATATTATATATGTTTTACTATATATGGATGTGTGGTATACCGTATAGTATACTGCCGGCGACACACACTACGTGGGATATTTATCGATGCATTACTGCTATCCATCAGATGTTCATTAGTCATGTACATATATAGGGATGATCCGGAGGCTCACGGACTCTACCTATCATGTAATCGTGGTCGGCGTACGACTCGTATCGCGTACTGAAGCTCGCGTCAGTCATACTATGTATTCTATAGCAGGACAGATCATGTTGGACTGTTAGATTATCACTACTACGACATGACAGTTAAATCTTTGCACGAACCTACTCAGCTACTAAGGTTATGCGATTGTCAATGTACGGAATATAGAAGAATTCGCTACGATTTACTTCAGCGATTGTTCAATGTGTTGGAGATCGCTGACTTTCTCCAGATATCTGATAACAGTTGTATAATGCATACTGATTAAGCTCATCTGCTCTAACACTTTACGCTTTTTCAGCAGGTACAGATAGGATAGATAGAGATTATGCCTACTCTAGCTACCATATATAATACATTCACATAAGCACGGTCTATGCGCGACATGTCGGTGGTACGAGCTCTTCATAGCAGCATAGTAGAACTACCTTAGTGTAGTAGTAAACGATGGAGCGCTACTTTCATACTTTCGAATAGTCATAAATGATATTCATGTAGAGGCTCGCATGTAGATATAGAGTAGTAGATAGATCACTGTATGCAGGCTATACTGGGAGCGATCTTTAGTAAGCCTGTAGGCCACCGACTCTACCGATGCTGGATTCTATATACTCGGCTCCACTCGCGCTATAGTGCACAGCTCGTATAATCGTGCGAGCGCGTCAGAATCCATTCCACCATGCTGCACAATCTAGTATGCGTCTATCAGGTTACCGTTTTACTAAATAATCACTGACTCTTGGATAAGATTAGTGATCTACGTAATACACATGCCAGCTACCTATCCAGAGATACAGGAACTTCGACCAGGACATACATATTGCTCGAGAATATGCCTAGTTCTCTATGATCCTTACTAGTCCATAACTAGTCTTGGGCATCTTATACCTCTATATAATATATATTATATAAATATATATATATGTATATACATATATATATATATATATATATATATATATATATATATATATATATATATTGTATATATATATATTATATGTATGTATATTGTGTATATGTGTGTATATAGTTGTGTGTATATATGTATGTGTGTATATATATGTATATGTGGTATATATATGATATATTATATATATGTATATATATAGTATATACATATATATTATAATATATATATATATATAATATATGTATATAATATATGTTTATGTATTGTATATATATATATATATATGTGTGTATATATGTATGTGTGTATATATATATATATATATATGTATATGTTGTATATATATATGTATATGTATATATGTAAATGTGTATATATATATATATATATATTATATATATATATATATATATATATATATATATATATATATATAATAGATAGAGATATATGTACATATATTCATATATACATATACATATACATATACATATACATATACATATACATATACATATATATATATATATATATATATATATATATATATATATATATATATATATATATATATATATATATATATATATATATGTCGACCTTTCTTATTAGTTCAGGAGTGAGACAAGGCACCAACACTTTTCAACACATGCATGGACTGGATACTAGGCAGAGCTACTGTTCAAAGTCATTGTGGAGCAACTCTGGGCAATGTCAATGTTACTGACCTTGACTTTACTGATGATGTTGCTATTCTATCTGAGTCTTTGGAATCCTTAGTGGTGGCTCTGGATGCATTTAGTAATGAAGCGAAGCCCTTGGGTCTAGAGGTCTCCTGGACCAAGACCAAGATCCAGGACTTTGGGACTAGCTAGAAAAACTATTTCGGTCAGTATGTGATTGCAGCGAGAACGTTGAAATCACAGAGAGCTTTAGGTCCCTTGGTAGTGTAGTTCATAACTCAGGGCTGTCATACCAGGAAGTC